CGCGCCCCCAGGCGCCCCGCCCGCCCCGGCGCCACCTCCCAGTATCGCCCGCAACCATTGGTCCGCCGAGTGCGGCCCTCCTTCTCCGTCCCCCCGGTCGTGGTGCCTGCTGGGACTTGTAGTCTGTAGTCTCAGAAAATGGCCGCAGGAGAGTTCAACACGGACTACACGACCCAACAGGCACCGCGGCCAGAGATGGGGCAAGAGGTGACGTCTTTTACAGTCGTAGAATCGATTGGGTTGGAGAAGACTTTTAAGACCCACGTTCACCGCAAAATCATGGCCAAGTGCCACATCCACACATTTGTGGAACATTTCCAAGGGTGGTGACTCCACCACTGCCCTGAGTAGCCTGTTCTAGTGCTTCACAGCTCTTTTCAGTGAAAAAATTTGAGAGTTACAAGAAAACTTGGTTTCTTACGCTGTAGTAAGTTTGGGAAGGCCTTTGTCGAGCTGATACCACAGAATCCATTAGGTTAGAAAAGATCATCAAATCCAGCCTGTGACCAAACACCACCAGGTGAACTAGACCAGGACATTAAATGCCGTGTCCAGCCTTTCCTTAAACACCTCCAGGGACAGTAATTCCTCCTCCTTTCATTGTCAGGTGCAAATGTTTACACATCCGCACTTGATTCTGCCAAGCTGTGAAGAGAGAGGTGCAGAAGATGAAAGACATGGAAAACCAGGGAATTTAGGGGATGAGGCAGGAAAATAAAAGGACAATTATTTTATTTTGTTAATTTACTGGGTGTTTCAAACCATTTTAACAGGCATTATGATTTCATGGTTGCCATCTTCATATGGTGCAGTTTTAGAGGTACTAAATAGTTTCAAACAAAGAACTATCATTCTGTAGTATGTTCATCATGACAGTACTTACACAGATCTCCTTCACCACCTGGGCTACATTAAGAATGATAGAAATGTATTTCTTAAATACTAGGTACTGCTGGAGATGTACAAGAATATGAACGGTTCTGAATGTTCGGAAAGACCAAGAATTTGTTTGAACTAAGTGAAAAACACTACCAGACATGATAGCATTTCACTTGCTGTACCATCTTCTTTAGTATTGCATTACTGGGATCATGAAACCATTTTAAGATGCTGATGGAGAAAATTAAGTGAGAAACTTAATAAATATTCTAATTCTACTTATGCATCACATTTTAATTTTAATAGAATATAGTAGTCAAGTTGTAAAGTAAATTATGTTCTTCAAATTTCCATTCTTCCAAAAATTATAGGATGTCTTATAATTCCAGGATCTGTTCTCTGCAATCTTCTTTATTTTTCTACTTTGCAAAATGAGAAGAAAAATGCATATACATTGCTCAAACACCATGTCATACTACAAACAATGAACTAAAACCACAAAAAATAATAAAAAACATTAGCAGACAATTCCAAAATGAGTGGAGACACTGTGCCACTACAGATCCTTGATAAAAGAGTACACATGGAATACAATCAGCTGTCCTAACTAGAGGTTGAGAACTACAGATGGGAGTAGAGATTAAGGTTATTGTACCAAAAAATCATCACATTATTTGTTCAAATTGCAGACCTCATGAATGGTTAGACCACAAAAGGTTTTGCTAAGAACCTTGTGGTTAGAGTCCATACACAGTTTGTAAAAGAACAGTGGTATAATCACTTTCCAAGGAGCAAGCTTTTGATTCAGTACCTTCTGTTGCCATGCACCCACTTTACACCTACTCTGGTGTGCAAGGAGTTATACTTGTTTATATATGCATATATATATAATTATCCACATATATATATATATATATATAAAATTATCCACTTGTTATCCTGCAATGGGAATATACTGACACTAAGGAAAAAATGTGTTTACTGCAAACTTACTTTTTGTCCTCCCATTCACATTTCACACTATTTTTCTCAGAGCATCTAATGTGCTTTTATTATACTTTAAAAGAGTATTCACTATGGTCTGAAAATATCAGAATGGCACTCCAGAGTAGTCTTGTTTGTCCATTAATAAACGTTTCAAGAGAATTTAAAGTGATCTACCCAGTAACCTCAGAGCTTGTGTGTATTTTAGGAGACCAGTACATCTGTGTGCTGTTAAAAGGTAGATAGGAATAAAACTGGTTTTGCCAATCTTTCCAGGTGTCTTTACAAGTTAGACTAATTTTTGTATTTTTGGGAAGGTATTTAAATTTTTTGTTTATTAATTCCTTCATGTGATGCAGTGAATAAGAAACTATTATTTTGAATACTTAATACATTTGATGAGACTATTTTTTTAATCAGTGCAGTTACTACACATCTGTCTAAAATGTTCCCCATGAGAAAAGGGGATCATCTAACTTTTCCTCACCAAAGGAAGGTACAGTATTGGTTTTTGTTAGGGTCAACTTCCTAAAGAACTTAATAAAGAATCACTTGAGCAAATAAATATTTACCCCTTCTTAAAAATGAAGAATTAGACACAAAGATGCTGAGTAAAGTTTGCTTAGCTTGAAGTAATAAAGGAAATTTGTAACAAATCTCAAAGTAAGACCTGGTTTACTTGACTCTTAATTCTGTATTATGAATTTAAAAGACATTATTAATTGTACTTTTCAAAACATTTTAAAGTCAAAATTAAGGTGCTGAGACAGGAAAAATCTTTTTAAATCTTGCAGCTCTTTAAAAATATCATCTGTATTCATTCCCCAAGTAGTTAATTTGTTAAAGAGATGAAAGGAATATGGGGTAGAAGAGATCCAGTCTCTACAGCATACCCAATAATTTAACAGAAAGGGGATGAAATATTAGAAAAATTGATGAAAACGCAGTGGAAGAAAAGCTACACAATGAGATCCATTGGAAGTTTCACTTTTTTCTGGCAGTTTTGTGATGCTAACAGACACATGATTTGAAGCTGTTAAAGGAAATAATTATAAATAAGTTGAAGCTTCTAAGATTAGAGCTTGTTTGAAGTGCATTAAATTAATCCAAATTAAAGGACTTTCATGAGTTTCTAAAGCATTTCTATGTTTTCTTTGGTCAAGGTCCAAACTCATATGCATGGGCAGTTTTTCTCTACTTAAATGACTGAATTGTCTCGACTGTGAAGTGTGTCCCCTCATCCCAGTAAGAGTGATATTTATAGGTACAAATGCATTTTATCTGGGGACAATACAGTGTATATCCTACACCGTAGATTTATTCACATGCACACAAACAGCAGTGCATAGGATCCAACTGTAACGATGCAAAGAACTTCTGTTTATCATCAAACATTTCATATATCCCATTACATGTGAAAGAATTATTATCTGTCCTGTTGCAGTGCAATGCTTTTTCCTGTAATGGAATTTTACTCTGCAAATTTATTTTGGTATTAAAAGGTTCCACTTTATAATGTCTATGGTTCAATCAGTGATCTAAAAGGCACTTAAATACTTTGAACAAGATACATAAAACGCTTTTATTGCAAAGCTTTGCTGTATCTACCAATTTTACCATTGATCTCTTTCCATGTAAGGCAGTTCTGGAAGCTGCCCATGCTGTATAAAATCACATGGTGGCTTTTGATCTCCAGCTGGTGATTAAAGCACATTATGGAGGTTTGAAATTTTCTTGTGGTCATTAGCATACCTCCAAACACTTCTCTGCTAAATAGTAGTGTTGTCACTATATGCTATTTAAGTAAGAAACCAGAATTCTATAACCTTATTTTCTACTCTTTGTAGCTCAGAGGATATAGATCTCTTGAATGAGGTGAGCTTATACTTAGCTGTGGACTTACTGATCAAATAGTGATTTCTTAAGGCTCTAGCAAAATGCATGAAAGAATGAGGGTATATTTTTTAAAACCCTCTTTTGATGCAAACAGGGAGAGCTCTGTGCCTTGTACTCCCTATCTACAGTTCCATATTTCCCACTGCTTAAAGACATCACTATCACTTCCAAGGTCACCAAGCTGTCGTATGTTTTCTACAGTGGGTTTTTAAACAATGCAGTATTAACTCTTTTGCTTGAAAATAGGAAAAATAGCATCTTTCTGCACACTTTGAAAATGTATTTGCATGTTGGAAAAAATGAAGAATCACCACATACTTGTTACTTCCTCTAGCAATCTATTCCATTCTTTCCAGAGAAAATAAATGAGTATGCCAGCTTTATATATTTTTTATCTTTCACTTTATTCTATT